CTTCCGTCTAGGTAAGGAGGATTTGTGTAAAAGCATCATAGACACGGTTCACTCTGAAGTACCCTGTGAGGATTCGACTCTTCAAGCCATGAGTATGTGCTACAAGGAAATCGACCAACGTAAGTTATTTATTCAGCCTTGTTCGTGGCCATGACTTTGATTGGATTTGTTGCTTGGATTTTATCTTCCGATTGATGTGTATGGAGAGTATTAAGAACTTCCTCGTTGATTAGTTAACAATAATAACTGAAATTACATAATTAAATTGTTGCCTATCGAGAGTTGTTTTCTATAACTTTATTCCTTCGATTTGAGCGTTCAATGATTTTGAGCTATTTGAGCAAACATTTAATTTTCAGCCGATAAAATAATCGAGATTTACGAGGCGGCGTCGAAAGCTAATCCTAATAGCGAGGAGCTTTTATCGCATCTATTTATGTCCTACGTTCGACTGGGAGATTTCAAAAAGCAACAGCATACGGCATTAGCTTTATATAAACTGGTTCCTAAAAATCCTTATTACTTTTGGGCCGTTATGAGTATTGTGATGCAAACTAATCAAGCTGAAGAGAAATTGGCCAAAAATGTTATATTATCATTAGCCGAGCGAATGGTAAGTTTTTATATATTTTTTTTATATATATATATATATATATATATATATATATATTTTTTTTAAAGTTTATAATCATTTACAATGATAATTATTATATGATGATGATGATTATTATTATTATTATTATTAATCGATTGTAATTTTACAGGTACTAAAATTAGTTAAGGAAGGGAAAATGGAAGCAGAGCAAGAAATTCAGCTTTATTTGATGATTCTAGAATTGCAAGGGAAAGTGGAAGAAATGTTCGAAGTTTTATCGGGACCTCTAGGGTCTTGTCTGTCCAATGTTTCCCAACGTAAAGCAAAATTGCTGCTCGAGATGAAGTGTTTCGAAGAAGCTACAAAAGCTTATGAAGAGCTTATACGTAAAGAGTAAATATCGATAAACAATTTTTCATTTTCATAACTAATGCATTAATAAATTAATGACTCGTTGATTAAACGTTACTACGATCCTATTATAATCATAATGATGATAAGTTAATGTCCGTTTTAATAGGAGAAGTAATTGGGCATATTATCAAGAATATCTAACAGCGGGTCTTAACTGTCAGTCAGCTACAAAATGTTATAAATTCTTAAACGAAACTATAACCACTACATTTGATGATAAAGTTCGGGCACCTCAATTAGCTCGCTTGGAATTATTAAAACGTACGACTGAGAAAAAATTGGAAATTGAGCATTGCGCGCATATTTGCGACGACATGCGACAATATTTCAAGCAGTTTGGAATAAAAGGCTGCACCGTTGCTGATTTAAAGTTGTATTTGCATCTTTTGAGCGATGCTGATAAAGAAGAATTATTAGAGAATGTATAAATTTAAAAGTTTTGAGGTTTACGCCAATATAGGGTTGAACGGGTGAACAGAGCTTTGCTAAGGCAGATTTTCTTTTTTTACAGATCGAGCTAGATATCGGGGTAGGTGAGACTGATTATCCAGCGACGATTGACCAAATGCAAAGGCATATACATTTCGAGCAGCTAAAGCGCATTTGCGGTAGGCATCATCCACCGCGCGCTGACATTCAAGAAAGAAAAAGTCTTGTGACGAGACTCGGTGACTTGTATGATAAAGGGAATGCTCTTTGTCCGGTAGAGACTAGATTACCAACTGACTTTTGTCCTGCTGATTCTTATGTGCTTTTAGATGCTCACATTTTACATCAACTCTGGTTTGAAACAGGGGATGCGACGTGGTTATATAAGTATGCACTTTTTCTTTGGTTTGTTTGTTTTTTTTTGTTATTTTTTTTTTTTATATATATATATATATACATATATAAAGAATTATGTAACATATCTAAAATCAATTTGCAATAATAAACTTTTGAATTAAAAATTTTAGAACAATGCTGATTTTGGAACGTGGTTTAATGTCAAGTCCTGCTAATTTTCACATTAAAATACTTCTTATCAGGGCATATTTAGAGGCCGGATTGGCAGTGGGAGCCGATTACGCATATTCATTATTAGATTGCAAACATATCCAATTAGATTCATTAGGCCATCTGCATGTACCCTTACTTGCACCTTTGGGCTACTTATCACAGGCATCTAACTGTCTCGACCATGCGGCTAAATTTTTTATCGCGAATTATAAAGATGTACGTGATTCCGTTGAATTTATTTTTATAAGAACGATTTAACGAGATTACCTTCGATAATTGAATGATAATTTCATTTGGTGAATTATTTTTATAACCGTTGCTTGGATTTTACAGAGTGCAGATCATTTAATGTATGCATACAAGTACGGAAGTTTCTTAAAGATTCAAGAGTTTGTTGAGTTACGTGAGCGCTTGGAAAATTCAATTCATTTTGCCATGACGACTGTCGATAAAATGTTATTAGAGATGAGCTGGTGCGACAGTCCCATGTCAGTTACTAATTCTTTATATACTATGCACATACAACCAGCAGAGGATTCGATTAGATGGGATCTACTTCGTGACAATCGTGATATAGACGTACGTTTTATTCTCGATGCTTTGCCTTCGCGCTCAACAAAGCCTCGGCCTTGTTCAATTCTTATCCTTAATTATTAATAATTTCAGGTTGTAGTCGGATGGGAGCCACTGCCTGAAAATGGCGAGGATCTTCGAATGAAGCTGGAAACGCGAGAGTGCATGGTGCGTTTACTGGCAGCTCGAAGTTTCATTCTAAGAATATTGGCAGCAGCAAACGATACAGATTATTCACCTATACTTTCTAAATTGGCTGCTGAACTCAAGAAATTGCAAAGGGAAGATATACCACCTCTTCTTCAAAAGTTTCAGCACGAAGGCAAGGATAAGGTCAATAGTGTTATAGTTCCTCTGGATGCTGTAGAGCGATTGCGTGAAGCCTACAGCTCCGAACAATTGAGTATAATTGCTCAAGTTGCCGATTCGTTGGCTAATTCCTCGTGTCCTGACCCTGAATGCATCGAAGCGCTTCGTACGTCACCCTGTTTAAAAGCGCCATCCTTACCAGAACAGAATAAACCAGTTTCTTACAGAAAGTTTTTGCTTAGAGCATCTACTTGTGGTGAAAGTATAGCTTTCTTGAGTGCCATTTGTACTTCAGTCGCATTGCAAGTTCAATTTAATATTTCTCAAAAAAAAAATAAGAAAAAAAGAACTAAAGAAAACGTTGTTTCTACTACAGTGGAAAACCAGGTAAATATAAGTAAACAATCTATTCGTGTCTTTTAATAAAAAGAATATGATTTAGAATCGTTGGCAATGTTCGTATTAAACATTTGAATATCAAAAGTATAAAATACAATAATTCATAATTTTATCTTTACATCGTTCAAACTAGCAAGATCATTTTAATGAAAAATAATAATTTTTAAATTAAATGAAAAGTATTTTATTGCATTGAAAATTTATTATTCAATATTAGACGAGACAATTTTAATCTAAAGATATACCGCAAAATGCATAGATTTAACTCGATCTATGTACTAAGAAGAAAAATAACAATCAAAAAATAATAAAAAATAATTTTTTATCAGTACGTATGGGCAATCTATATCATAAATTTTTTTTATATTTATTTAAAATTTATATATATAATTATAAAATAGAATTCTTCCCTGTTACAATAGGAATACTATATAAAGATTAACGTAATGTTTTTTTTTTTTTTTAATTTATATTTTAAAGTAAAATTTGAAAAATTTAATTAATTCCTTGATTATTTATTGGAAATGAAAGTATTATGTACATACGCTTGTGTGCGCGCGCGTGTGCGCGTGATTGGATAATGAATGTTGTGCATGCACGTCTAGTGACATTATTTACCTTTTCTTAGATGCTAATGTTTCTATTATATAATATATCCTGGAGAATTAAAATACTAATACACAAATTTTAGCATTATATGAAAATTTCAAATATTTTATAAAATAATATTGGCTTCAATAATGTATTTGATTTGTAAATTCAGTATTTTTATTTGACATTGAAAATATGCTTATTTAAGTAAAAGATATGTAACAAGATTATTCAATATAATTATTAATTACATACAATTATTACTTCGATACACGATAAACAATTTACTATTCAAATTGATGATTGTAATAAGCTAATTAGTTGCGTCCATTTTTTTTTCTTTTTCTTTTTCTTTTTTTTTTTTTATATACAAACTCTCTTAATATACAAGTATATATTAGTTCTAATGAAAATTAAGTTTTATTATATGATTTTATTTTATTTGTTGATTAATATTCAGCCAAGTATATTTATTAAAATTTGAAATAATGAAGTTTTTATATATATATGTATATTCAAGTTAAGAATGGTAGAAAAATTATTTTAAAATCTTACCATAATAATTTTATGCGAAAAAAAATTCGCTTAAACAAAGAGCTATACAATAAATATTATCATTGTAATATTAATTACTATCTACTGAGCATTTTTTTCCTTTTCTTTTCAGGCATGGTTTGATGTATCTCAGTTGCTATCGGAGAAACTTCGAAGTTTAGAATTCGTATTAAATGATTTAGAAAAAGTAGAAATTTGTACGGATTTGAATCCTAAAGAAGAAGTGGCTATTAGAGTAATTGAACGTGCCCAATCAAGTCTCACATCAAGTAGTTTATCCCTTAAATCTCGTATCGTAAATACTCAAAAACTTATAAATAATTTAAAAAGCTGAAATTCTAAAAATTTGTACAAAAAATTTTTATCCATTCTGGTAAATTTGGCTAATGAATTACGATTTATGTACATACGTACACTTTGTTATTATTTGACATATTAACCAACCATTTTTATCTTTATAATACAATGCGTTTATATTTTTTACAAACGAATTTATTCTTTTAGCAGATCAATAATTAACACTTTTTAAGTAGCTATATGAAAGAGTTAATATTTCATAAAAAAAAAAAAAAAAAAAAAAAAAAAAAAAAAAAAAAAAATATGTGTATTTACAAATATAAATTTTTATTTTTCAACACTTCTACGAGGTTGAACGAACGAATGAATGATTTTTTAAAACAATTAATAAACTGTGAGAATAATCATCGAAAAAGAGGTATTATTAATAAAATTATTTCCTTAACGTTAAATACCAAGCGTGAAGGGCCAGTTGAATAAGAAATAGTGCCACATATATTTGCATGATGTAACTAATAACTCGAGCGTGTTTGCTTTGTTCCTATTTCCAATTGCTGAATGTATTGGAAAAACAATAAGTAAGCGATCGCACAAGTAAGAAAAAAATGTTACTGTGCCATTGATTTGCGAAATCAACCTTGCAATAACCTTGTATATCGCTAGGTGTTTGATCATGTCTTGTATACGACGTTAGAGTCCAAAAAAGATAAAATACTTAAAAAAAAAAAAAAAAAAAAAAAAAAAAAAAAAAAAACATTTCTAACAAAAATAAAATTGAGGGTAAAAATATTCTGGTACTTGATGTTCAATTAATATTAGATTCCTTGGACCACTTATTTTTTCTTAGATAATAAAAAAAAATATATATATATTTTCATGCATTATTGTAAAACCGTTAGAGGATAACACCAATTGAAAAAGCCAAATAGTATATATATATATTGTTGTAAACTCGCTTTTTATGGTAAATAATAATATATACACATAAGTTTTTCGCTGTTTACAAGTAGCTCAAATTTTACATTTATAACAGTTTGTTTTCTTCGTATATGAATCCATGATTCTATGTGAACAATTTACAAAATGAGAATAAGAAAACAGCTCAAGAAAGTTCCTGCATATTTAGTAAATCAATTATTTGTACAAAACTTTCGAAATTAAAAAATGAAACATCTAACAACAATCACTATAATTATCTTGTGCTATCTCATTCATCATAAAAAGTGATTAATATTTTACAATATTTCTACAGTTCGCGTGACCTATTTACACGCGATCATTCGAACGGTACACAAGTCGATAAAGATAAACATTCGCATAATAAATAACAAAAATTATTTTGTCTACACTATTATTTAAACTAGTCTTCATCAGTACCTTTTTGGTACACTGCACCAAACTTGCTCATGTATTTTCGAACAAAGTCCTTAGCTTTATGTTTTACATTGTCATTACACTCTAATTCATCAACACTTTTACAGTGTTTTAATTCTTTTGCAAGAACGAAATGTGTTAACTAAAACAATAAGAAAAATTGATTTAGAAGGTTTATATGGAAATTTAACGAATAAATATGTAATAAAATTTAAAAAAAAAATAATTATAATCTTACTTTACGCGCAAGGTGTTTAAAATCTTCGGTATTTGTGATTCTCCCCTGCTTACAATCACTTTTTCTATATGGATTAAGAAAGTGTACCATTACATTTGCCATATTAATTCTAAAAGTGTCTTTAATCTTCCGTTCCATTGTTGGTGACATATCCGACGTAATTGATTGGAATTTACTTGTACTATGTTTTGCATGAGACTTGGATTTATTGCTACGTCGATGCTTTCTCATTTTCTCAAAATGTTCCTTTAGTTTTGCTCTCTCCTTCTGACGTCTCAATTTTTCTTTTATAACTTTGTATTTTTTATGATCTACACGATCCTCCTCTCTACGTGGCTGTAACAGTAAATAAAACAGAAGGACCATTTTAATACTTTTCAATTGTTAATATTGACATTTTTTATCCAAAAGTTTATAAAAAAAAATATATATATATATATATATATATGTAAAAACACGAGTAGTCGCGTTACTATCGGTAGGCAACGTGAGTGGAAATTCCACTCCAATGTCATTTTCAAAATCCAACACAATATTAATTGCCACTTAAACATCAATACTAACGCTAATAATCCTTTCCTGAACGAGTCCCTCCCTACGCTTCTTCGTTTCCGGAACAATGGGCGTTGGAACGATGTCAGGCTTTGGCTGGGTCTCCGGAGCCGTCACATCCAGGTCCATTCCCTCGGCCGATTGTTGCTCGACTTGCTCGTCGGCTTCCTCCTCCTCCTCCTCGGATTCGCTCGACTCGCCGCTCGATTCCGACGTAGTCGAGGAGTCGGGCTGAACGGCGATGTGATCGGGTGGCGGTGGCAGCCACTGCGATACTCGTTCCTTTGCATGATAATAATAGATTCGACCACGTTTGTCGCGCGCCCATTTCCACTTGGGGGGCAAATCCAACGGAGGCGGCGGAGCGAGTTCCGGCTGCGGGGCTCGGTCGGGCTCGGTCGGGGGCACTGGCCTCGGCTCGTCTCGTTTATCTGGATAGGCGAGGGGGGCTCCATTATGAATCTGCACAAGACCACTCGGACCTACTTGGAGCTGCCCGTAGGCAGGATAAACGGGCCCAGTGACGAGCATCGTCGTCGGCTGCGAGGAATTAGCAAGTGTCTGACCGGTTCCCGTGGGTCCCATGTAGACCGAGGCGCACTGCTGGCCGAGATCAGCGCCACCTTCTACTAGAGATATTAATGTTGACATTTATAGATCGTTAGACGAACGATTGCCTTACGTTTCGTTTGAGCTTTAGTATGCTCGTGTAGTTACCTTGTATGGGATAAGCTTGCCATTGGCCTAGCTGGGGATTGAAAAACAGGGGATAACCGGACTGAGGATCGAAGGCCGCGGTCGTGAAAGGATCCAATCCCAAAGCTAAGCACTGAGCCTTGTGCTGTTGCCAGGAATCCTCTTGTTGACGACGCTGGCGCTCCTCCTCCTCTTTAGCTACTTTCATTGCAAATAATTGTCGGCGTTCGAATTTCGACATACGCGGTACCGGTACTAAATTCGGTCGCTCTTCCAAACCTCGCTTATCCTTGGACCGATTGTGTTCGAAATCCGGGGAATCTCTTCCTCGCCTTCTATCGGGACGCTTTTCTAATTCGTTACGGCTATATCGATCAGATCTATGCCTACAATATCAATACAATAATTTCATAATTATTTTTCATCTACTGTATACTACCAAGGGCAAAATTTACCTTTCGTAAGAAGAAATCTCCTTTGCTTCTTTTTCCACATCTTCCTTGTATCCACGATCTGCGAACGTCAAAGAAATTGCTCAATAATAATCATGGCGTTGATCAATAATGATAGGATATACAAATGCTTGACAAACCTGCTTCTCTTTCATGCTCTTTCATTTGTTCGATGCGTTCTTTCTTTGGTATTCTAAAAACTTCTTTCAAATTTGACCAATCTACTAATAAATTAGACGCTAATTCAGAAATAAATAACTGCTCAACGACTTCCGCTTTAATTTCGCTTTTAATTTCTGGATCCGTTTCCTTTTTTATTTCGCTATCGTGCACACTACTTTCTAAATTAGCCTTTTCGCTACTATCCATCTCCGTTTCATCGTTATTTGATTTCAATTTCGATTGATCGTCCTCCGGCGAATCTCCACTTGGTGAATGATACAACTGTTTCGACCACTTTTCTATAACGCTAAGAACTTTACTATCGATTAGCATAGTTCGATTGGGAATTGGCAGTTTACCCAGAGTCTTTAAAATTTCTAATCTAAATTGTTGTGTCTCTTCATTTATACTTCCGGCGACATCCATCATGTAGCTCCACATTAAACGTAAGCCATGATAATCAAGGAATAACCTTCGACACGGCTGTTCACCAGATTGTATAACTTTTAAGAGTCGTGTTCTGTGTTGTATTTCTCTACTGCGAACCATTAGTCGACTGAGAGTTAACGTGTGGGCTCGATTTTTCAATCCATTTGAACAAAGCTTATCGATTTGCTCTTCCAACTATATGCAATATAATAAAATCAATATATAATCAACATATGCAAATTTTACTTATTCTACTTTTCTATCGCAAAACAATTGAGAAGTTTAAAATAATGGGATTTACAAAACTTTCATAAATATTACATTCAAACATTATACTATTGTATTACAACTTACATCTTCATCTTCCATATGTTCTGGAACTTTCTTCTCCTCCCTTTTTCTTCTTATTTGTTTTTCAGGTTTTTCTTCTTCGTCTTCTTTGTCGTCTTTGTCGTCTACATCGTCTTCTGAATCATCCTCCACATCTTCCATATCTTTTGCATATTCTATTTTCTCTTTATTTTCCTCTGGATTGTCACCAATCCATCCTCGACAATTTAGTGCTTCGCAAAAACATTTTTGTGCTTCTTTTCTAAATATTAAAATTATTTTATCGTATTAATGACATATAAATGATAAAGTCGAACAAAAAAAAAGTGTATGTATAACAATACACACCCGTATCGTTGAAAATGATAATCAAAAGTAATTTCATCGCCAGCCGTTATAAACTTTTTGCTAAAAAATCCAATTCTTAACTCTCCATTAACGGTCCACTACAAAACCAATACAAAATAACAATTTACATCGATAATTTAATAATTAAATATTTTAATAATGAAATTTACGCATTGATTGAGCTATATGGTTCATTGGTATAATTTAACTTTCATAATCAATCATAAAGAATTTTCTCAAATTGCTTCTTACATATTACAAACATATTTTACTCATATTATTAAAACTGTGCAATTAAGATATATGAAATATTGAGTAATTTATAATCAGTCAAAGTTTATGAAAATTTTTTTTACTTAAGTTTGTAAATGTTGAATTTAATAAGTTCATTAAAGAAGTGTTAATAGCAACATATTAATAGCAGCATTATTGATATAATTTATAGATAATAATTATTAAATAGTAAAAGCAAGAATATCAAAATTATTATTTGTTTACTTTCTGAGTTTCAGCATTTGGATCACAGCTATGATTAATAAAACGTGACACATTTCCCTTCATCGTCGCATCAATAATTTGATCAGATTTTAAGGCCATAAAATAATAATGTCTGTTCTTGTCCTTTGAATATTCTTTAGCTCTTCTCCGAAAATCCTTTGGATCAACTACTTCACCGACGTATTCCATTATAAATTCTCCCCTTCAACATTAAAAGTCATCTTGAACACAAATAATATACTACATTGACATAATTAAATAACATAATTAAAACTTACGCATTAAGATCACATGTTGACTTCAAACCAAAACCCTTTCGTTCCGTACGAAAAACGTCACAATTTGCGTATTCACAATTTTGAAATCTTTTATTAGTACATCTATTGCCAACAACACATCTTGAACCACTATAATAATTAAAATTAATAAGCATCTACGTTTTTTATTATTGAATATAATGTTATACTAACCATTCAATCATTAAAAGCCTATTAAGACAATCTTCTCCGCAACCAAGTTCCCCTCTTTGAAATTCTTCTTCAGTTAAAAAACAATCACACACCATTCGCTTTGTTTCTTTACTTGTATACCTAATTTTAAATTACAATTCATTATTGTGATAAAGCAGTCTGCAATTTATTAAATTTAATTCATTAACTTACCGCTCTGTTAGATACAAATTTTCTTTTAAATGTTCAAATTGACTAAGTCTTTCCTCCATTTCTCTATCAGTGCCAGTAGGAACCATTGGTAAAGAAATCTTAGCCCCTATAGTCTTTGGAATAAACATTGTCGAAGCATTTATTAGTGGATTATTTGCAACTGCCAAGGTATCGCTGATAATATTCGTATCCATAGTAATTTGTGACGAAACTAATGTTACTGTATCGTGAAAATCGCTTATAGGTTTCGCCTCTTGTGTCAATCCTACAGGTAGAGATGGTAATTTAGTAATTGTATCGTTTAAGGAATTAGAAACAATTCCAATGGATGTTCCCGTCATTGTGAGATTAGAAAAGCCTAAATTTGGACGGGATGCTGACCAACATCCAGAATTGCTCATTTCTAATTCGCTAGATCTTCGCCAACGCGATTTAACTTTTACGGGCTTATTAGAATCGGAATCATAGCCTGTCGTACCAGTAGCGGTTATTAATGGTGTAAGGATATCTTGGGAAATAGTGGTTTTATTGCTATTATTTTCCTTGTCCGATTGTGTTTCAGAAATACTATCTAAATTATCTTTACTTTGATTGGCAGTATCTTTCTCTTGTATTGGCGATGTATTACTTATTAATTTATCTCGATCTTGTTGACTGCTGATTTTAGCAGAGTCTGTACATGGTTTTGTAACTAATCCACGTCCACGAGATCTAAGAAATCATTAATTGACATACATGTATATATTTTTTTTAAACAAAGATACATATACGCACATGTATTGAAATTCTGTATATAAATAAAAACAAAAACAAAACAAACAAAAGAAAAGCTTTTTCTTTTCTTAAACAAAAGTTAAAAAAAAATTGAGTATACAAGGCTTATGTGTATTGGGCAATAATATTGAAATTTATATACGAAGCTACGAAACATACCTTTGTTTCATTAATCCTATGGTTCTTATTCTATTACTGCGACGTACCCCAGAGCTATTCGATCCACTTTCTGAGCCCGTTGTATCAGTACTTCCACTGCGACTTCTAAAACCTGGTTTTTTGTCAGACTCATTTAATTGATTTAATGTACTTTTGTTTTCTGTGTTAAAGTCTGAAACTTTGCAACTATTGGATGATAATAATGTGTCATTACTGTTTTCACTACTACTAGACAGTTTAGTATCTTCCGAATCCAATTTTCCATCTATTTCACTGTCTCTGGAATGCTCTTCACTACTAAATAATAAATTTTTCGACTTTGCTGGTAAACGATTAATAACATCGATTTTTATATCAATAGGATTTGAAATACTTTTTTGTTCAAAATTTATAGAATTATTTACAATTTTATTATCTTTTAATGAATCGGTCGAAGGTACTTGTAATATTTCTTGATTTTCCATTTTATCAAATATCAATGAACTATTATCGTATTCTTGAGTTAAGACCACAGTGTTTTGCGGTAATACTATAGAATGTTGAGTATTATTTTGTTCAATTATATTAGTGGATACAATAGGATTAACTTTTTTAGATTTTACTGTCTTTTCTTTACCTCCGGTATTTAATAATTTATCTTCGATTAACGGTACTTTAGAGGATGCTTCTGGTTTTTTCTTTTTATTATCACTGTCTTTTTTAACAATTGTATCGCAAGCGTTAACTGTCTTTTTAGGTTTTGTACTCTTACCGCTTTTGGTTACACTTCTTAATGATCGATATTCCTTTCTAGAATTATCCGCATTTGATTTGCAACTATCAAAATTATTAAAATCATATGGCGAAGCTTCGTTACTTTTGTCATTTTCTGTAATCACAACGCTCTCAGATTCTTCCAAGGGTTCAAGGACTTCCGACTCGGTCATGTGTAAAACACTGAGACCTTGTTCTATCATTTCATAGCTATCCGTGGTTTTATAGCTATTGTCTATGGATGTTATATTTTCGACATTATCAGAGGAAACCATCATTGACTCAGTTCCATCTTCGCTCTGTATCACCGTATACTCAACGACGTCTTTCCCTTCGAAATGTGAATCGTTCATGAGTAGTACTTGCTCGAGCACAACGCTACCATCCTGCGCTATGGAGCAACTATCCGCCATTTCGGCTTCTACCTCCATTTCTTCGCAAATAATGGTCTCTTCTATAATGTCCTCTGGCCAAATAACATCGTTTAAATTACTCTCGCTGGCAATAATTTGCCTATCTTCGATAGTTTCAAACTTTTGTATAGGTGGCGAATCAGTCTTTGAGTCATCCTGACTATCACTTTCTCCACCTAAACTATTAGCACTTTCCGTTGCAGATTTTTCTTTCTCAATTAAACTTTTGTATCTAGTTGATTTTTTAGGAACTGCGTTGATTTTTTTTGGTGACTCTTGGCCGCTGTAATTGTCCAAGTCCTTGCAATCTTCGGAGTTATTAAGATTCACGGATAAAATATCACCGTTTGGTTTATTCTCTTCCAACTGCTTCTTAGCTCGTTGCCTGCTGGATTTTCTTACAGCCGAAGATTTTGGCTGCTGCTTGAGTGGGGCTTTAGCCTCTGTTTTGCGTCGACGTGCCATAATTCTCCGGTCTTATTACGTTGCCTGCAATACATTTTGTTTAACAATACTTACTAACATTCCACATCTATGGAGAAATATTAAAATATCGACAATTTTTAATTTAAATCAAATTAACAAGTGAAAAACAAAACAATTGTAAACATACATGTAACATTGATGTAGGTAAGTTAATTAACCTAGAAATTATTAGTATATATTAAAAAGTGCTTATTATGGATATAAAAATAAGCATAATGAGTGAATGATGCGTTGATAACCGAACCATCAGGCGCATACCAATTTCTATGGATATGAATTTATATAGTACATAGCTCGAGTCCAAATTCAGCAGAATGGCCATAATGCGCGAATTTGCACAAAGCATAAAAAGTGTTGAGTCGAAAGGTGAGAAGATGTGAGGAAGAAGAAGAGGGAAGGAGAAACAAGAAGAAGAAAAAGGAGAGAAGACAAAAAAAAAAAAGAAGAAAAGTAATAATATTGAGGTAAAGCAATGTCATTAGTAAGAAAATAATGTTTGTATTTGTGCGGCAGGCAGGAGCAAGATTAGTTAATAGTTAGGTATGAAACGAGCGAGCGACTCACCCACGCTGCACTATAAAATCGACCAATATTTGCAAGTCCGAGCCATCGCTGCCTCGCGCGTCGCTATTGCTATTTACCAAAGAATCCGTGGATTCGGTAAGCTCCAGGGCATCGTGCAGTTACAGCTCACACGACGTATTCTCGTTATCTCGCGCCTCGAAAATCTACGCTGCAAAAGCAGCAGCTACGTGACAAGAGACCAACGACGAAGACCAAACTTCAAGGCTCCAATGCCCCTTCTACACTGCAATTTTATTATCCACTGGATTAATGTCCTTCGCGTAAACAAATGTCCGGGAGGTCTCGATATCGTCCTCAATGAGCGGCCCCAGTGGTCATGAGAGGGCCTCGGGCATCGCTTCGGCGTTGCGTATCTGGGAGGGCTATGTCGCACACACGGTGTCAGGATCGAATAACACACTCGATATCGGCAATGAAAACATGAGTATTTACCGGTTCGACGACGAGCACTCGGGGCGTCCCCGATTCTTCTCGCTCTCGAGGCCTCGGACCCAGCTCTAGCCGCTCCGCGAGTCACTTATCCTCGGGATTAGCGCGACAGCGTCGCCGTTCCTAGATTCCCTTCCTCGAAGCGAAACCGCGCCGCGAGCCGCAGACGTGACTGGACGGTCGTGCGACACGCGAGGGAGAAGGACAGAGAGTCTCGGCGGGCCGTCGTCACCGCGTTAAGTTACGAGTGCGCGAGCCAAGGTGCAACTTATGAGTTACGGGCGAGAAGGAGTGGACCGCGGACGATGTCGAGACTCGAGACTCGAGAGCAGTTGAGAATCGTCACTAGCGGCGTCTACCTTTACCTCGTTACGACTTGGTCCGCCGATGACGATGGCGCTGATGATACTCGCGAGCTAGATGACGATGACGATGATAACAATGATAATAATTCTCTCTAAGGGGCTGATTACGCTGATGTTGACGACGATCACGGCCGTCGAGAACGCGGTTGATATGACAAGAAGGCGACGGAAGGGGCGGTGATGACGATGAACGGGAGGGGCGGGGGCCGACGGAGAGGAAAACCGAGTCGCTTTAGTGGCGGTGGGTTGGGGTAGGGGGGAGGGGTATGAAGAGGATGAGGATGAGGAGGAGGAGGAGGAGGATGAAGAGGAGGAGGAGGACGATAACGGCGACGACGACGATGGGACCGAGGAGGGAGGAGAAGCTGTGGGCTAAGACGTCGATTGCTGAGGTGGCGATGGTGACGAAGAATGGTGACGGGAGGGGAAGAATGAGAAGATGAAGCGTTGCGGAAGGAGGTGAAGGAGGTGAAGGTGGAGGACGATGACAATGAGGATGACGGGACGGACTCGACGATCGCGAACGTCAAAGTCACTCCGATACCTCCGCGCAGTCCATATCGCTCGCGCCGTGTATTCCCGTATAAAATGCCTTGCTTGTCTCCCTTTATCACTCTATCTTTCTCTCTCTCACTAGTGCTGCATTTGTCGCATGCTCGCTATATCGCGGAGACCGTGAACTCCTCCCGACCCGCGCCCTCGCACCAACACTCGACAGCCTATCTATCTACCTACCTACCTACCTACCAACCTATCTACCTTCCTTCCTCTTTCCCGCCCCAACCCCTTCGATCGCTGTCACTCGCTCGCGCATTCGTTCGATGTGACGGGGGCGGCGCTCGGGGGGAGCCGAGCGTCGTCGGGAGGTTAAAACCACCAGTTTCGCGGAGCTCGCTGTCCTTGTCGGGCGAGTGGCATCGGGAGGAGCGCGGCACCGATGGGCGATAGCCAGCTAGAAGAGCGGCACAATTGGTCGGTCGTTGCGCGCACGCACATCCGCGTTTACGAGCGAGCTGCCGCGGTAAAGCGTCGAGCGCGCGCGCAAAATTGAAATATTTCGCACGAATCCCCCGACTGTGGGCCACTCTCGCTCCCATTAAATCCCGCGGGCCTTAGGTTTAGCTTCGATCGAATACGAAGCCGTCACCGTCGCCGTCGCTACCGCCACCGCTACCGCCACCGCCACCGCCACCGCCACCGTCACCACCTCCACCACCTCCACCGCCATTCGCCCGGCTACGACGTCACTCCTCTTCGCTTCCTTTATCGCCAAAAGAACATTTAATCCGTCCTTTACGAAATACGGGCTTTCTTATTTGCATATTGCTAGGTTATATCGAAAGATCGTTATATTATCGTAATATGAGAAAATACGGACCTGATTATTTATATCGATCTCACGTTCTCATTCTCCTCGCTTTTAAGTAATTTTTTTTTACACGTTATCCAGTTAGAAATATGAAATACAATAAAAGTATAATTATTCTAATGCAAACGATTAATCGTTGAATTGCTGCGGCAGGCATTTTTATTAAAGAAATTCGTTATCTATGCGCATCTCTTAAAACTTTTGATGCGAATAAACGATTAATTGACACTGACGGACGAAGGGTTTATTTACATATACAAATGAATGAAAATTAATTAGTAAAGAGCAATCGGTATAATATAGGATAACAATGAGAATGCGATGAGAGACTGCAGATGAATTATGTGGATATAGTGAACGTATCGATTAAAAGTTTGTCAACCATTATAATAATTTTTAATGGGAATTCGTCGAGAGTACAATTACGACCATTGAAATTTTAACCACGAACATTGAAATTTTAATTGATAATCCAAATATGTCCGACAATCTTAAGCATCAAAAATGCTCGTGTTGGCACGCAAGACAATAAATGGCTTTGGTAACAAAACAAATTGTACTCGAAATTTAATAAATTTATTAGTCACGGCGCACAATTGTCATACATAACGTCAAAAGATATATGCATACATACCTTTGCAAAATTATCGAAACATCAAAATTATTACAAGATATAACTAACTCTTTGAAGTTGTAGGATTATTATTATTATTATAATATATATATATATATATATATATATATATATAATGCTGCAAATCATGCCAACCATTCAAGAATTACAGCAATTCTCGAAATTAATAAATATTATTTCACAATTATATAATATAATATTTGAAAAAGTAAAAAAAAGAATAAAAGAAGATAAAATGTCAGCTAATATGTAATGTGCACGTAGGCCGATCAACCGTACCTACAAATAATTTATAATTTCATTTAATTTTAGATAATTATAGGCAAGTCGAATATTGAACGCTACTTTTTGTGATTAAATATAATTCTATAGGATCTCAAAATCTACTAGATTTGCCTCATCCTAAATTTCATTCACACATAATTGATAAAATCATTTTCTTTGTGCATTGAGTAATATTGTATTATAATCGCGATAATAAATATAAAATAACAATTATTAATTTGACAAGTCTCTTCTATCGCGCAATGACACAAAATAAACTTTCGGCGCTATTCGCAACGGTTTTCTTAATCGTTTATTACATTTCCAACTTTTATCGTCAAATTATTATGGCAATTAAAATTTAAATTACTTACGACTATGATAATTGGTAATGAATTGCTAATATTACAATTGAGTGTAAAATTGCTTTGAAAATTTTAAGTGCGTATCGTCGTAATTACATTGTACGAATAAAATAACGTAGAGGCGTCGGTCGACATTGCGCACATTTGAAAAATGTTCGCTTCGACAAATTAATTGTCCGCTCATAAAAATTCCCTAGCAAAGTATCTCAATAATCTTTGTTTTCTAGTTGAGTTTAGTTTTTGTCTATTCTTGGCATCGGATGTTGAAACATCAAACGCGTGCCTCCTAGTTGCGCAGATCAGCATCCTAAACATAGTTTTTTCTTTAATAACTTATGATTTTTATAAGTAACTCTGATTTTGTATGCGACGTTTAGGGTTCGCTTTTTTCCCACTTTAATCGCTTTTGAATTTCGTAGTACAGTCCGGTTATTCATTTGTTACGATTGTCGTATTTTCTTGTTAAACCATGTTGGCGTTTTGCATGCGTTTGTGTAATAAAATTCGATCGTTGTGTTAAAGTAGTCGGCGAAATAAATGAAAAACGTGTTATTTATTTATACAGAAAAAAAAGTAAAGTACTGTGACGGCTAAATTAAACTGTCTATAATTGAAGAAACGAAAGGATAAATAATCGCTTGAAGTAGGAATCAGCTAGGATTCAATGGACCTGGATGTTAAAAGTGTGATATGTGATATTACCAAATTCGGAAATATCTCCAATCAAGATCATTGACAAAGACAATTCTCAAATTTACCAATAATCTCGTTCACTTCTTTCACGACCTATTCATTCGCAATATTAATTTCACGCCTTTGATGCCCCGAGCTTAATCGCTAGTTAATCACACTTTTCACCAATAGCCGTTGCATCTTTTTAATCGAATGGATAAGAAGAATTAAGGGCAATAGGGGACGGTATATAATGAGACATGTGTATGTGTATGTGCATGCGCATGTGCATGCACGTGTGCATCTTATCGATGCACGGTGATCTGCGTTTCGCTACGCGAGTGCATTGCGATTTCTAAGTTTCGATTTTCCAAAACAACCCGCGGCACATTGCAATTGTCATTTCAGTTCCACTGCGTTCCAATCAGCCACTGCAGCCATCTCTTGATGTAGATGACATCGGCTAATATTTACAAACATTTTTATCCTTCGTCCAGTCACGAATGTGTAAGGCTTACCGATTCCTTTAAATCATTACATTGCCAACCGTAAGGAAAAGTAACGTTATGGCTTTATTGTTACAAATGTGCTAAATCGCTTGAATAACTGTGCGTTGTCACAGCTGTTTCTCAAACTATACATAGTGAATATGTTACGTATTTAAAACTTGAGTATTGACGTGAAAAAATGGAATCGTTCCAGGTGCTCATCAGCATGTGCGTAGCTGACGACACTGAACTCACATTTACATTCGCTTTTGCGCATTTATTTATTTTCGTATTTTCTTTCGTCAAATGACCCAACACTGTATTTTTGCACTTGTAATATTGTTGGAGAGAGGGAGAGTGAGAGTGCGTGTGCGACAGATAAAGAGAGAGAGAGAGAGAGAGAGAGAGAGAGAGAGGGAGAGGGAGAGTTGGACATGACGGATATTTTCTTTTATTGGCTCAAGTTTTCGTTCAGTAGCAATTTGAACGCGCATATGGTTGATTTTCTTCATACACTCGACAGTTGTATCAATAAAGTTCAGTTACACAATTACATTATAATCAATAATTTCAGAATTATTTTACCAGTGTTTAAATATTATTTTTTGTTAAACTAAATAATACTTTCATTTCCTAATGTGAATTTAACACAATTTTAGTTTTTATTTACCAAAGTGAAAGTTCTATGTCTAATTTTATATTCGATTAATTGTTGGATACTGGCCTACGATATTATAACTTTTCTATATTTTATTTTTCATTATTGCTTTACATTTTTAATTCTTTTAATTTTATCGAAAATAACTTAAAGAATATTATAATGCAAAATAATATATAATAATCGTATAATTTTATAAACACATACATCAATACGTATTTATGTTATGGTTTATTCTATAAATTACTTGTGTTAAAAATAAATGAATTTTATGTACATAGTCATAGCTAAAATTATAGAAAAAGTTTGGTAGCACAGCATATGTATGCACTTGCGCATATACGTGTGTGTCCGTTTGTGTGCGCGTTTGTGTATGCATGCAGAATGCATTAAACTGATCAAACTGATTAAACTGAATCACCATAATATTATACATTTTATGTTGCAGATACTTACTGAATTTATTATTCAGTATTTTTAAGTAAATCTCCTGGATATTTTCATCGACTATAGTAATGCTCATTCCAGTAAGAGTTTTTCATAAAAATCATATTGGATTTAAATTTTGGAGAGCACGTATGCCAATAGAAAGTATTGTTTAAAACATACTTAATAAAGCTTTACAGCGATAAAGTATTTGATTTTATATATAGTACATTTGTATCAAGATGTCTACATCGACAACGGCATTTTTGCCCTTGACAATGGCACAAGCCCTTGAAAAAGAAACAATTGCACCAACAATTGATTATTCTAGTATTCGTAGAAAAGTTACTAAATTCTTTTTATACATCTTTATATTATTTATCATCTTATGAATATTCTAATAAACTATCTATTATAATTAATAGGATATATTAGTTAGTCCATCTGCAGATCAATACGAATTACTTTTACAAAAGCTTAAAGAACGAATTAAAAATGGAGGTAGTGAAACTATTTTTGATATTGGAATTGGTGAAGGTAAATTTTGTTTTGTATACATAATGATAGATAATTATATAAAACTGAATTTAAAATTTATATATGTAAAAATAGATGGTTCCGAAGAAGGATTGAAAATTGACGAGTATGAGGCATCTGTGGCTACGCTTCAATCGCTTGCTGCAACCTTAGAAGCAGATTGTGTTTTATTAAGGCAGAATAAAGTAGATCATAAATTAACGGGACAATATTTGGTTCGTAAACGTCTTGATCAACAAGATTTCCTAGAAATCAGGTGTGTATTAACACATCGAGGCTTGTTGATATTTTGTTTTTTTTTAATTAAATTTTTAAATATTTTGGATGCATTAAAGTTAAGTGCTGATACTTTTCCTTCGACAATTATTTCTTCAATAATCACTTCAATAATTTTATTAGATGTAATATTTTAAGGAATAATCTCATCTTTAAAATTATTAATTTTTATTTAAGTATCCGTTAAATCAACAGTATTGATTATAATGCTTTCAAATTTATATTGCAAATATAGTTCAATTATTATATGTTGCTTAGCTATTTGAATTAAAACGTTTTATTTTTACGTTTTAATAAATGTAGTTTATATAACAAAAAATCATTGAGCACATATTATTATATATGTGCTATAAAAAATAATGTTTAAACTAGGGTTGCTGTAGTTGGTAATGTAGATGCTGGAAAATCAACATTGCTTGGTGTGTTAACTCACGGAGAATTAGATAATGGACGAGGATTAGCACGTCAAAAATTATTTCGTCATAAACATGAAGCTGAAACTGGTAGAACTAGTTCAGTAGGAAATGACATACTTGGTTTCGACAGCGTTGGTATGTGTGATTGATTATCTTAACAATACAATGCTATTATTCTACTCAAAATTAATTTATAAATATTCATTAATAGGGAATGTTGTCAATAAACCAGAACATGGCTCTTTAGATTGGGTAAAAATTTGTGAAAAATCATCCAAAGTAATTACTTTTATCGATCTGGCTGGTCATGAAAGATATTTAAAAACGACGGTATTTGGAATGACCGGGCATGCGCCAGATTTTGGTTAGTAACTTAATTATATTGTTCTAATTTATAATTATTAATTATCCAGTCGATATTTATATATTTTTACTTCAGGTATGCTTATGGTCGGTGCTAATGCAGGTATTGTAGGCATGACTAAGGAGCATTTGGGATTAGCTTTAGCTTTATCAGTACCAGTTTTCGTGGTAGTGACGAAAATCGATATGTGTCCACCGAACGTGTTGCAGGAAAATTTGCGATTATTGATTAGAATTTTAAAATCTCCTGGATGTAGAAAAGTTCCGGTTACTGTAAAGACATCGGATGATGTTGTAGTCAGTGCTACTAATTTTGTTTCAGAGAGGTAAATTTGAAAAAAGTGCAATTCTTGGCAATCTTTTATTTAAAGTCCAATTACTAATGTATATATTATTTTGTATAGGCTATGTCCCATCTTTCAAGTGTCGAATGTAAATGGAGAAAATCTGCATCTTTTGAAAATGTTCCTAAATTTATTAACTGCACGTATTACTAGTCATGATAATGAGCCTACAGAATTTCAAATTGATGATACATATTCCGTTCCTGTAAGTAAAAATGACATTAAAAAGGATTTATAAATTTTTGCCAAACGATTGAAATGGCATTTATCAATCACAGGGGGTAGGGACGGTTGTTTCTGGTACGACACTTAAAGGTGTTATACGCCTGAATGACATATTACTTCTTGGACCAGATCCTCTTGGGCACTTCCAGCAAATAGTTATCAAAAGCATTCACAGAAAAAGAATGCCAGTTCATGAAGTAAGGGGTGGACAAACGGCTAGTTTCGCTTTAAAAAAAATCAAAAGGTCACAAATTCGAAAAGGAATGGTAATGGTATCGCCCACTTTAAATCCACAAGCTTGTTGGGAATTTAAAGGGGAAATATTGGTCCTGCACCACCCAACGACTATTAGTTCTCGATATCAAGCAATGGGTAACTTTCAAAATATATTGGATAAAATTGTATAATGACTGTAAATCAATTATAATTAAAAATAAAAAATGTTTTCAGTTCATTGTGGTAGTATTCGACAAACAGCCTCAATTTTATCAATGTCTCAAGATTGTCTACGAACGGGAGACAAAGCTTTAGTGCATTTTAGATTTATAAAACATCCGGAATACATAAAGCCTGGACAACGTATGGTCTTTAGAGAAGGACGAACTAAAGCAGTTGGCAACGTTCTACAATTAATACCACAATCAGGATCAAGTAGTATAAACAACACTGCAAGGGGAAGCAAACCAAACAAATCTCAACAAAATCGACAAAATACAAATTCACAAGTAATATTAAGTTATTATTATATTTAATTTAAATATTACTTTAATTCGATATGTATCAAAGATCCTCAATATGTTATTGAATTAATTATCCTTATATGTACTTTTGAGTTGTAAATGACGAAATTTACCAAAATTAAACAGTAATATTATAGTGCAGTAAAGGAAAAAAAAAAACTAGTCCATCTAAGTAATTCATTTTTCAATGAGCAAAGAACAGTAACTATGCTGTTTATTGAAATTAGAATATCTTTTTAATTAATTAGTCTTAAAATTAATAAGTCTCAAGGGATAATCATTAACTTTTAGGTTTTGGAAGATGATGCAAAAAACAGTAATGACACTCAGACTGCCAAACGTGAAAATACACCTCAAAAATTATCTACAAATACTATTAAAAAAGGTCGAACAAGAAAGGGATGGGTACAAAATAACATTGGTAATATAGTTCAACCACTTTCGGAACAAAATCCTCCTGCAAATGTATAAAAAAAATGAAAAGAAAAAGATTATTTTTAAATATATACATATATTGCAACCATAATTACTTTAAGAATCTCAATATTGTGAATTTTGAAAATTTTTTTGACAATTTCTTTCTCGAAAAATATTGATATCAAATTTGTTATAAAATTTCTTACGATATCAAACGATACTTTTATAATCTTCTTCCAAACAAAATATAAATGCATAAATGCTATATTTTTTAATTAAAAAAAAAAAAAAAAAAAAAAAAAAAAAAAAAAAAATAGTTCTCGATATTATAATGTAAAAATTTGACTAATATGGGTAAATTTAAAGTTTTAATAAATAATTTACTTATTTACATAACTCATAGTTTATATTTTCATAAAAACATGTTTTTTTTCTTAACAAATGAAGGTGTGGTAATATAGAAAGTAGATAATATTTTTTTTACTGATCAATATCTAGAAAATTAGAGAAAATGATATTACAATTTTGTTTTTTAAGTGTAAGTTTTTTCGTAAAACATTGCAGTGATATTTTATTGTTTTAAATTTATTAAGGTTTAAACCTAACATGTTATTGCTCTATTTAAATATTTTTCATTTTTGTACATATTTTTTGTTTTATTATACACTTAATTAAAGTATTATTTTGATGATTTCGTTTTATCTTGATTCTGAATTCCTTTCAATCCTTGTTTAAATTTTATCAATTTATCAAAAGCATTTGATCGAATAAAAAAATATACTACCCATCGCGCTACTTGTCTTACTGGCTTTGAATCAGCTAACTTAGTGACTAATCTATCATTTCTTATCAAATATTGATAAATTATTCTAAAAACCATGGTACCAATTAATATTTGATTATTTTTTTTGTTTAAACCTTTGGTACGTCAAATGTACACATATTACGATACTTATGAAGAAGCTCCCTTTTCAATCTTAATTGCTTGCGAAGTATTTCTAATTTTTGCAATTGCTCTTCTTTGCTGTACTCAATTCCTGGTAATCTTTTAATCTATAATAATATTCAGGTATAATAAATAAATCAATGGTTTTGCTCAATTTATAAATATAGACAACAAAATATATACAACCTGAGCTCTGGCAGAATCTAGTTTTTTTTGTAACTCCAAAATTTTCTGACTCGTATCTTGTGATTCCTTTGCTTTTTGTGAAGTATCGTGTGGATCTTTTTCAACACTATAAAGACAATATATAATTACTTAAAACACGATAAACTATACGTAATATAATATTATAAATTATTAATAATATTTAGTCGAACAATGCGAAAATATGTCAGTTAATTTTCGTATAAATACACAAAGATACAATGTTTAAGTATTTCGGTATATATTAAATATATTTATATATATGCACATTAAAGGGTAATTTTTAAATTTATTTAGGTTATATTATTAAAGTTCGCGAACCTTCGAATAATTTCATAAATAATTGGAAGAATTTCAATCTCTAAATCAGCTACCGTAAACTGAGTATTCACTGCGGATTCTTCACTCAATTCTACTACCTCCATTATAACACTAATTTAAAAGTTTTTTCACGAACTTCATCATTTTCCCACAAAAATGACACTTTTATAACTTCACTTACAACTGATTTACTCGTATCTCTACTCTTATTCCTAATTCTTAAAAATTTCCATATTTTCCTTTCAATTTTGGTATTAAATGTCCATCGATATTATAAAGGAGACATAGAGTGAATAAGCAAAAAGCAAATTTCCCACTTATTTTCAATGGTAGCTGGAAATCTCAAATTTTAGTGAGCAATAATGCATTGAAATTATATATGATGAAAATATTTTTCTATTCGCGGCAACTTGCGTATGCTATTAAAGTAGCATACAAGAATTATAAAAAAGTTGTGTTGCAACGGTAAAAAAATTTGTTGCAAAGTAAATGATAAATAAAGCACCTAGAACGTAAATAGGTTGAGCTTAATTTCGAACCTTGGAGATTAATATGCATATATATATATATATGAATGCGTAAGCAAGCGCGCGCGTGTATACAGTCAGTAGGAAGATATTTCTTGACTTACATTTCTATAAAAATAGTAGAAAACCAATACAAGATGACCATTAGGTAAAGAACGTCGCATATAAATAAAATAATTTTTTTAATTCAAGTGCTTCAAAAGGTTTATTGAAGTTGAAAGTTTTTTTTAGCTTATTCATGTAATTATGAGAAATATTCTTCTATTATATAATCAATACCATTGTTAAAAACTGTTCGTATAAGTGCATAAACAATTTTCATAAAATGTAATTACAATCATTAAATTTACGTAAACTGATTTTCCGTATAACCCGCATTTCGTCGATGTATTAAAATTTGGATTTCCTAATCGCATATTATTTTTTTCCCCCTATTTATAACTACTGAATGTATAATAATTGAAGTTGAAAAAGGCTGAATTTTAATGAACAATGTATAATTTGATTTAGCAATAAGTAATTTTGTGTATACTGTTGAGCAGGAAAAATAAAGATGATGAAAAACGTGAATGATTCAAATGAAAAACTTTGGCACTTGGATGTGATTTGAAAATACGTTGGCTCATTTTGAACGCAAATAAGTTTGGCAAACTTTGTATTTATCGTATGAATCAGACGGTCTCAGCAATTTATAATTTGTAAATAATTATATTCTGTTATAATTAAAAAATTTTGTTTGTAAATATCCTGTTAAAATTATCATCGCTTAAAAAAAATTATAAAATAATACGATTATTGTGTTAATACGAATATTCTGAATTTTATATTCACTTCTCAAGATTAATAATTATCATATTGATATTGATAAATATTGATTGTTGCATAATACAGCTTAGGAGTTAATAATTATTATTTGTCGTAATCATTAAATGTAGAATAGCTAATATCCATCGATGACATTTGAAAACATTTTAAAATATTGATTTTTGCATTATTTCAATAATGTTACACGTATATTTTGTATCTTTTGTATCGATTTGGAAGTCAATATTCAAGAAAAAAAAGTAAAAAGTACGTTGAAATATAAATAATTCTTAGGAAATAATGCACTAATAAATAAAATTGCATAGTTTTTGTTAGAATGAAATCGAATAAAATCGTTCTCGAATGAATGGATAATTAAGCTAAATAATATCATATGTCTATGTTGCAATTATACGATAATTTCTTATTCGTATCACATTATTTTATTCAAAATTATATTCAAAGTTTAGTTAAATAATTATTTCCTTACATTTGTTATAGTTGTTTTAATATATAGAAGCAGCAGTGGTAAATAGATAGAAATATTATTTCGTTCGACCAAGTTATGACTTTTTCCAACTTTGCTTTTGCAATTGACTGTTTTGTAGGTGAAAGCCAATGAGTTCTGGTTTTATTGCGCAATGCGCACGTTGTAATTCGCTATTCGTTACGACTCTTCGGTCGGTGATTTTCTATGCCTTTCTGCTTTGTAGAGGTTACACGAGCCCGTAAGTTGAATATGTTGGATTTGATTCCAATTATTTTTTAAGCATCTTACTTTAATTTAAATATTGAGCTTATTTAATTGTATTAGTTGCTTTTAAGGATTATGCATTTAATTATATTTTATATTTAGTGGCATTATTTTATTGTTTTAGGTTAAAATGGGTCGTCGACCTGCAAGATGGTAAGTGATTTCACATTCGTGTCTAGACGATAATAATACTTTTATTTACCGTTAGATTTTTTTATTATACTTCATTCTTACAAATTTATTATTATTATTTATTTATTTATTATTTTTTTGTTTTTTTTTGTTTTTTTAATTTATGTAACTGATAATACACCGAGTCGATGTTCAAAGTTGAGACAATCGATTGATTTCAATGATTTCAATACCGTTTCATTTCCAGTTACAGATATTGTAAAAACAAACCGTATCCGAAGTCTCGCTTCTGTCGTGGTGTACCGGATCCGAAAATTCGTATTTTTGATTTGGGAAAAAAGAAGGCTTCGGTGGAAGATTTTCCTCTTTGCGTACACCTTGTTTCCGATGAATATGAACAACTTAGTTCAGAAGCACTTGAGGCAGGTCGTATTTGTGCAAATAAATATATGGTGAAGAATGCTGGTAAGGACCAGTTTCACATTCGAATGAGACTTCATCCTTTCCATGTCATTAGAATAAACAAAATGTTATCGTGTGCTGGAGCCGATAGGTACATTGATTTTAATTTATATTGAACATTTATTATGAATTGTATTATAATTTGAGTATTTTTTTCTTGTTCTATATTATATATATATATATATATATATATGTATTTTTTTTTTTTTTTTTTTTTTTTTGCTGTATATTTTTCTGTGCTGTTATTGTAAAATTAAAAATATTTATTAGGCTTCAAACTGGAATGCGAGGTGCTTTTGGTAAACCCCAAGGAACTGTCGCGCGTGTACATATTGGACAGCCAATTATGAGTATCAGATCATCTGACCGTCATAAAGCTGCAGTTATCGAAGCTCTCCGACGTGCTAAATTCAAGTTTCCTGGACGTCAAAAGATCTATGTTTCTAAAAAGTGGGGTTTCACAAAATACGACCGTGCTGTATACGAATCTCTTAAACTCGCTGGACGGTTAGCTCCTGATGGTTGCAACGTTAAATATTTACCGGAACATGGACCTCTTGATCAATGGAAAAAATTCAGAGAAACATTGGCTACAGCTTAATAATAAAGAAACTGATAAAATCTGTATTCCAGTTTTAATAAAATTTTATTAAGTTCACTAAATATTATTTTGTTCGTATTTCCATATTTATCTATAAAAAAACATTCTAGAAAATCATCATTTATCGAAATATAAGAAAATGTAGAAAGTTCGTTTGTATGGATTTATCAACTTATTAAATGAGATCTGAGTAAATAAATCATATTTTTAACTGTATATTATAATTGAGTAATTGAATTGAAATGTACTTTTGTTGAAAAATTAGTATTTAACAGAGATTAGTGGAAATTTAATGTTTTGTATACAATTCAGTTTAAAAAACTTAAATATTTATTATAGAAACATTGATTATTTTTGTAAAAACATTTAAATCGTCTTTGAGATTTTTTTTATTTCACAAATTGTATTCTACAAAAACATACCCTTTTGTATGTATAATTTACATCATACAATGTTTTGAGAATAAGGATGTATTTTGTTTAAATACCAATGTGTTATGCAAATGTAAATAGTATGTAAATAGCACTAATGCTATTTAGAAATAATAGCCCTAAAATACTACTTTTGTAATTTGTTCTTATTATCTGTTAACTTTGCAAATAATGGATTAATAAAATTTAAAAATGAAATTACTGTTATTATGAATGTTGATTATAATAAAATTAAAAATTTAGTTGTCAAACTGAAATTTATAATAAATTTTGTATATAAAGCATATTATATTAATTAAACTGGAAACAATCGATTTAAAATATTAATAATTAAGCACTAATGTTTATTTAATAATAGTAAATTATATTAAATTGCCTAGAATCGACAAATAATTGTATAAATATTTTCTTAAATTTAAGCTACTGGTTACTTTTAATAAGAAGGCCTTTTATTTGTTACAGATAAAAAAAATCTTATACTACAAAAGTAATGTGATAATCAATATATTATTTAATCGAATATGATAATAGATAATGGATTTTGTATTCTATCCGTCTTAATTTCATCTATTCAGTACTTATTATTACATTTTACATGTAATAATTAAAAATTTTTAGTATATTCTATATAATTACATTAAAAAGAATATACAATTATGCATATATATTAAAAATTCACCCTAAACGATCATTATATTTGATATCTACATTCAATTTATAATACATGGCTGATTATTTATCTAACATCAACAGTAATACAAATACAAAAAGTCATTTACAATAAAAATTTCAATAAAAAAGATCTTCCAGCTCGAATTTATGTACACTAAATCTAATGAGAATGACATGTCATGTTGACTTGATTAGTACTTTCACCATTTGCTAATTCATCGTCCATATCTATATCACATATTCTATGAGTTGGAGAATCTAAAGCTTCAGCGCTGTTTTTAGCATCTAAAAGAGGCGATAATTTTTCAGCTTCGCTGTCTTCATCTTGATTCTGACCCTACAAACAATATTGTTTTTCATATATATTTTATTTTGCAATTGTAAAATATAAATTCATTATAAAAAAGATTTACTGACCTCGTACAGTAATACGGGTTGTTTATCATTAGCAAGTCTTATAGCGTCTCGTGCTCTAAGATTTGATTTTTCTCGAGAATAATTAGATGATTTAAGTCTTGTTGACGGGGAACGATTATGAAGATCTTTCTGAGAGTTTGAATTCTCTCCTTTAGCGAGCAGGACAGACATTCGAAATTCAGGAGTCGGGCATGGTGTAGTGCTGGTTCTCGGTAGTGAGTTACAGTCTTTTTGTAAAGATTGTTTTGAAATTGGTGTACGTTCTGTAGATCTACGATTCGTTTGTACAGGAAATAACATTGATATTTCATGATTTATAAGTTAATTAACAATAATTAAGTTGCATGTAATTTCTCAGTGATATGGTAATATCCGTTACTAACCTATTAAGCACTTCAGCAGCTTGTGTGGCGCTTGTGGTATCTGTATCAGGCGTATCAGGAGATTCTGGAGGAAGTACAGTTGCCCTTGGGGTATATGGACCATTTAAGGCCTCGATCAAAGAGACAGCTTCGTACCCTGCTGGTATATTTTCACAACTACCCTAAAATAAAATGCGTGTGAGAAAATTTAATTATAGCGATTGTCGTGTAAATGAGACTTATTACAGTTATTATCGATATTACTATTATCAGTATAACTATTTCTGTTAACGTTACTATTATTAATAAATTACCTCTGGCAAAGGTGGATTAGTTATCATAGAGCCAATTGTTTTTTGCAAAGCTTTAATTTGAAGTAAAGCTCTAAACGGAGCTCGACAAATTGGACAATTATTAGCCTGATATCTCAATGAATCGGCACAACCGTTGCATAGACACAAATGCCTGCAGGGTAATATTAATGTGTCTCGTACATCGCACATACAGATAACACACTCTGCTCCATTATCCTCTGTGTCTTCGTCACTACCTTGCTGTTAGTTAGCAAAAAATAATAAAATTTTAATTGAATTACTAACATTAATATAGAACATACATTTATATATATTACACTTCATTTTATCTACCTTGGAGTTCTCTGTATTTTTATTTTCAATGCCATATATTTCTTGGAGTAAATAACATAGCCCATCGACGTATAATTTTTGTTTAAGCGCTTTTAATACGTAAGATCCGTCAGAATGTTTTTCAAGTATAGCTATGGTTGTGTGAGATTGTTTGGGTTCATCCGAACCTTCTTCCGCTACACAATGAATAGCAATGGGAATAATCTAAAAAAAATAACATTTACAATACATAGATAAGCATTAATAAATTCTAAAAGCGCATACCTCACGATCGGTATTATAAGATAATTCCGCTTCGCTGTATGGAGTTGGATCAAAAATATGCGACGTTTGGCTGAACAATTGATTAGCTCCTTTTTTATAGTAATACGTTTCTGAATTCATTGATGGTTCTCTCGGTGTATATCTACAAATTAGTTAGATTAAATTTTCATGCATTTTAAAATAAAATTCAAATTGCACGGACTTACGTTACTCCTTTCGATGTCACCTCTTCTGTACAAAAATAATATATAGTAATAGCACATCTAACGTCGCAGTCAAATGTAAATTCAATATTAAAATTCATGGGTTTCTTGTCAGAATCTCCATCGCCAAACTGTTTCATACTCACTTGTTGCGTCGATGGAGATTTTTCAACATTTCGAACTAAACGTAGAGACTCTTTTCTGATATTTACTAGGCTTTTAAGTGTTTTAGTTGGGTCATTTGCTTGAGGTGGTGGATATGGAAACTTAATGAAATATTTGATATCAAAAGTTAATTTAAATACAGCAAAGCCTTAGGCTTAGGCTTCAATACTTACCGGAGTTGGGCGACTCCCTAAGAAATTTAAGTCTGTATTCTCTCCAAAAAGATAAGCTTCTGGCTGAGGAGTATCGAATCTCTCTCCACCCATAATAAAATGACTGCCAAAATATCCTCCTTTTATAAGGAGAAAACAAAAAATATATATAATATACATATACACGCATCTATCTATCTATCTATCCTTTTATAAGGATAAAAAAATATATGCAATTTTATACTTCAATTAATTATTAACTTAACAATAAAATAATGATTAAATATAATTTAATTTTTAATAAATACGTGTATGATAATATTTTATTTGAAGATTTTTATTATTAATTTGCCTGCCACAAAATGGACATTTAATAATTAAAGGAAATGTTTACCAGATCGAGGGGGATACTTGTATGCGTGATTTGAGACAATATCAACTTCTTCGACGCCTGCATTCTGTCGGCTGGTTAATGATCCCATTCCTTTAGAACCCACAAATATTTACAAAATCTTATATATTGTTGTATTAATTTAGCTTTTTTTTGTTGACCATTTAGTTACACTAGAAAATTGTCTCTTCGTTTTCACAGTGTTAGCATTAAGGTTAGATGGTAATTAAGAGAATACATAGCGATTATTGTACTTTCTAATTAAATATTAAAAATTTTATTAATTCAAATGATAGTAATACTCATGAGAGTAATTATACACAGTATAGTAATAAATATTTATATTTATTGGTGCGGGTGTGGGTGCGGGTGTGGGTGTGGGTATGGGTGTGGGTGTGTGTGTGCCTGCTCATATGCGTGCATGAGTCTGCTGTCTCTCTGTGTGTTTGTGTGAGTGCGCGCGTTCGTGTATTCGAGAAAAATGACAATAGAGCCTCAAAGGATTGAAACGCTAATTCCAAATGTATTCAACATAAAGTAAGAGTACATTTTACGCAAATATTCTAACTTGAATACTCGACCAATTGTATTCATCACAGCCTAGTAGCTACAGATGATTGCGCCATCCCGCGTGCTGAAATATAACTAAAAACTCTCACGATATGACAATAATGCTGAGAGGTTTAATTAGTGAAATATCGAGTCGGATAAAGTAATAGAATAGTTTCTACAAATAGTTTGTTTGTAAAAAAAAAATGTATTTTAGCCTTTACTTGATAAATATTGTAATAATTTGTACTTTAGTCTATCGGTCATGAGTAATATAAGTACTGTAAATACCCAAGTATGTGTAACGTAAGGCATTTTGATATTAGAAATTTATAGTCTAGCCGTAATTCAGTATTTTTGTTTGTAAATTAAGTCGAGGGATAATATGTGAAAGGAACGAAGGAAATATTAAAATATCTATACTAATTATTTATCATTAATATTCCCGAGTATGTAATTAATTATTAAATTGTTTGTTACAAATTTTATCGATAATAGTGTCACTATATCTAATTGACGCGGATTAATCGTTTTAAATAGGGCAGCAAAGAAATCGTACATTTTCACAATAGCACAGTAATATTTAAGCATTGAAGTTATAAAATAGTTTTCAACGATAACTTTTTAAGACTTTAAGAATTAAAAATTGTCCACTAGAGTTTAGCGAAGTATCGGCGGGATAATTTTAATACAATCGATCATTTAAGATTCGTGAAGAAAAACATTGTACGTATAGCTCGGCGGAGAAAGTCTGCTTCTCGATCTCGTCACTTTCAGGCTACATCGGTACGAACGTAATTGTAATTAATAATGGCAAAAAATCAGAAGAACCTCGAAACAAGGATATAAATTCGAAATTAATATTAACATATTCACACCGAGAATATATTAATAATGTAATTGTAATTTTTTTTTCTCCTACGCAAATGCGTATGGGATCGAGGATCGTTCAATCGAGTACTACGCCTTACAATTGCCATTGATTTCAAAATTCGCACCAAAATGTCAACCAGTCAGCACAAAGCTCAAACGCACAGAGTCTAATAATTTTTGTTATTTTTGTATTTGTTGGTTTGTTTTGTTTTAAAATATCGCTACCTTGGCTCTTCGTACTGAACGAGAAGGGAAACGCAAAGGCAGCGTCTATTATATAAGTCTATGGTTCCGAATCGGCGATCTGTGCATTGTATTGCCGTTGTCCCCTACAACACTCCCTACTACACGACAGTAGTCAATCGTGAGAGATAGAGAGAGAGAGAGAGAGAGAGAGAGAGAGAGAGAGAGAGTTAGAGTGCACAGGGAATGGCGAGTGTTGACTAATAAAGCGATTGTGGAGGGACGGACGTATGAGACGCGACAGTCGGAGATAGAACAACGGAGTTTGAAGGAACGTTGTTTCATTAAAGAGTGAAACTTTTACGGTGGTGTTTTGTCATTTTAATCGTAAAGTCGTAAGTCGTATGTAACGACGAGTCGCAGAACTGATTAGAATTTCGCTACAATCGAGTCTTGAGTGAGTGCGCGATGAAAATTGTATTTTCTAGCGAGCGACGAGAGTTCGAGAGAGAACAAACGGGCCGAGGTGATTGCTTAGGGACATCGTCACGGTGAGACGACGAAAATGTTGCTCCTCCCGTAATTAAAGTAGAGACAACAGGGCTTCGGAGGCCAATAAGAATATCATTATTCCCGTTTACTTCCTCTCTTTGTGTCTCAGTTTAATCGGATCCAGTCAATTACTGTCTCCGAGCTCTTCAACGTTCATATTCCGTCTATCTTCTATTCGCTCTTGATACTTTTTTGTATACAAAGGCAGCACACGCCAGACTGGCTCGATGGTTGGTAATGTTATTTTTGGTCTCTATTTTAATAATTATTTTCGATTTTGATGCGCCCGCTTCCGTACATTTTCTACGATCTAGGCAGTTCCCTCCCCCGCCCCTTGTCCCCCTGACCACTGTCCCGTAACCCTTATCGTCATTTCGACAAACGCTTTGTTTCCTTTTATTTATCTAATGCTGTCGTTGATTGATTTTATTTCTACTATACGCACCGAGTCATTTGTTTAATTTAGTCTATTATTTTTTTTATACTGTTTTTTTGTCTCATTTTTAAAAATTTTTTTCTTCTTTTTTTTTTATGCCCCTGATATGATAATATTTATCAAAATGGTGATATCCGAGTTTAAATATCAAGTTCTCACGATTGATAAATTATGAGCCTGATATAACCTGTATTGAATGTAAATATTAAGTTTTTTTTTTGACATGAATTAATTTTAAAATCGAAACAGTGGAAATTTATATTCGTATTTGTGTATAGTCAAAGTTTATGACCACTTAATTCATCTTTATATTAATATTAAAATACAGGGACAATAGTAAATAATGTTATCCTAATTATCTGGATGCATTGTTTTGTATGCATTCACTGGTGTTTACGTATATTGTTCAAAAGTATTGTGCATACAGTTAATGAACTTATAATTGAAAATTTGTTGATCTAAGAAAGGATATAGGTAATTAATTATGTCTTTCAATATTTAAAATTTGCTTGAAACGACGAAAGTATGTATTATTGTTATATTCAAATGACGTTATCAATTTTTCTAATAATGGAAATTATCGTTGATAATTATTGTCATTTAATTTTATTATATTGATAATATTAGCATTTATATATTTGATGATAATTTGTACTATTGCATTAATGTAAATTAAATTCTTCCGTACTATTTCCATTATCTTGATACGTTCTTATCTTTGCATCGTTAATGAATATTAATTACAGATTATATTAGATATGGTAGTAGAGGCACTTGTCGGTACGAACGCTCGTTATCCACAAATGTTTGTAGCCAATGATAAAAGCATTTTCAAGCACTGTAATCTTTTGATATGCTAAACTACTACTACTATGAGATAATATGAGAAATAAAGCAATTGCTCTTTCAGGCTCTGCGAATGATGTCGGCTATAGTGCCTGGCACGCACAGTATCAGTGATAATCCGCACGTCGTCGATCATGCAGCTAGTAGGCTCAAACTTCAGCAAGACTTGTTATCGACCGCAAAACAGTGTCACATTAGATTTGGCGGCAAAGCAGAGCTGGCAACCGACTCAGACGCATGTGTCACTCATCTCTGCAATGCATTTGAACAGATTTTCACTCACGGCTTGAAGATCAGCTGCACCGATAAACTGAACTCGACTCTTAGGTATACTATGGGCTTAAATTCTTTACACAACTGACCATTGCGAATGAATTTTCAATGACACAACGACGAGCCAACAGTAAATATCACTGGCACACAGCGTAACACTGACAATTCACGTCGCATTCTAAGAATTTTAAAGCCTTTCTGAGCATGTCAAAGCATGTCAAAGCATGTCAAAGCATGTCAAAGCATGTCAAAGCATTTGTTATAATAATTGAAAATATCAGGCAGGTTTCGGAGCTGGTGAAGTCCGGGGGCTACCTGCGAAGCCCGGAGTCCGAGGCGTTTTGGCCGTGCATTCGCGAGCAGTTGACTTGGCACGAGCAGGAGCGCTTCAGCGTGCTGAGGAAGGTGCACACGGATCAGGGCCGAGGTCGGGCGTGGCTCCGTGCAGCCCTGAACGAGCGCTCTCTTGAACGACATCTGCACGCGATCGTTAGTCCAGAGGCTGTTCAACCTTATTACGAAAATTGGGCATTTCTCGTTGATCAAGAGAAGTCTTCCATGCTGCCGAACGTCGCTGCCGGTAGGCGTTGCCGTTGCTCTCTCACCTAATTATTAATAATCTCGCCCATATTAATAATTTATCATTTGCTGTCATTTGCCGTCGTCTAGGTCTCACCACTATACTTTTCGCCATTAGAATAGATAACGAGGAACTCAATTACACGTTGGAAGAGAATAAAATAGCGCGCTGTAAAAATTCCCATTTCGAACCAATAATTACAGCGGCTCTGCCAGGTTAATATATTAATTGTTACGCGTGCCTATATTCTGCAATTGTAGGTCGTAAGTGAATTTGCCTTGTTCGTTATGACGACTTCATTACAGATCCCTCTATGACGAGTTTAAAGCCACGGAAGAAAGTGCAAACGCACATCATATCCTTCGACGACGATGAGATTGATAATGAAGTGGCAAGTAGCTCGGTGTCGTTCAGTGCACCGCCAACATGTCTCAATTCACCAAGTGCAACTTCAACCAAAGAAACCTCACCGGTGTCACCTTGTTTGCCTTCATCCCGATTACAGCAGCATTCAGGGTCTAACGATGTAGTTCTGGACGTGCAGCCCATTAATTGGGACGAGAGGTTTTATTAAAATTCAAAATCGTCGTTAAATCAATTGCTGCCAATTAGTTATAATTAGCTCGTCGATTTCTGCTTTTCAGAGAGACGTTTGAAGAAGAGAGGCTTTTAACTCCACTCACCGACAATGAAAATATGGGCGGCTTAGTACCAGTGTCACCATTAGACAGTGTTCTCGATGATACGTTAGTTAATTTAGCAAGTTATATAGACGTAAGTACGGAACGTATAAATAAAGTGTTGTAAAAATTATTGATTTACATAATTAAATTGTAAAATGAAACGTGTAAATTACGTGAATTTTTAGAATTATGAGACAACCGAGGCAGCGGTTGAGGCAACCGAACCACTCGTCGATACGCACGCCGAAGTGGATACACTGGACGTGGAAGGTTTACGCGCAAGACTTTTAGCTCTAAATGAAGTTTTAGAACAGACGCGCGAGGATGCTATTACGAGTAAGCATCAGCTGGCCCGTTTTCAAAGGCAACATCAAAATTACCTTGAAAAACATGAGCTACAAATTCAAACACTTAATAGGTATTTCGCTATGGTACCAATTCACATGGGTTTTAATTTTTGCCCCTAAATTGCTACTGGCCATTAATAATTATGATCCGTTGTAACGATCTGTGCATTGCTTTCTTTAGGGAAAATGAATTATTAAGGCAACAGTTGCGAAAGTATGTAACCGCAGTGCAAATGCTTAGGAAGGATTCGGATGCAAATAATGTTACAGATGAGGATTCGTCTTTAGATTACCACAAAGAATCCCAAGAATATCAAAGTAAATTAGTTCAAGTAGCTGAAATGCATGCGGAGCTAATGGAATTTAATGCCAGGTTAACTATACAGCTGACCAATAAGTGCGTTACGATTTAAACATTCGATCTAATATTTGGCATTCGTTTAATTCTAATTGTATTTACTTGATTATTTAAAAGGGACAAATTAGTTAAATTACTTCGAGCGGAATTGGAATGCCTTCGAGGTCCAATAAACGAAGATAATATGCCTTCTGAAGCTCCCTGCTTAATACATATATGGGTACCTTCTGCATTTCTTACCGGCCAACCGTCCGATATTCATCACGTTTATCAAGTAAACTAAATCATGATTTTCAGTTTTATTTTATTTATTTATTTTTTTTTACACATTATAATAATTATAGCTTGGTCGCTACTATATATTATTTTAATTTCCATAGATATATATTCGTATTAGGGATACCGAATGGAACATATATAGAAGATACGCACAATTCCATTTGCTCTATAGAGATTTAAAAAAGCACGATACTATTGTTACATCTTTTGAATTCCCCCCTAAGAAATCTATTGGCAATAAGGTAATTTATAATATTTTGTTTATAATGTTTTCATAAGTTTAGTCTTGTAGTAGACGTATTTGTGTTTGCGGGCGTGTGTTTATGCGTGTGTCAATAATAAATTATATTGTAAAGGACGCAAAATTTGTGGAAGAAAGAAGGCAAAAGTTACAGCAATGGTTAAGACGAATCGTTAATAGACTTTCTCATTGCTCACTTGCATTTTCATCTCACCCAAGCAAGCAAACTCTTATTGCATTGATGCCTTTCTTTGGGTAAGAATAATTATTATAACTCACAAGACAATTTGCAATATTAAAATATTATATTTATCTTTATTTTTAACAGTGATTTTCCAAACAACGAAGAATCTGAAAGAAATAACTCTAATAGAAATACATATTCATCCTCACCGCAGTATATGGGTTTATAAGTTTTATTTCTAAGCAAATTGTAAATATAAAAAAAAAACATGGTAAATATTTTTAATGTATATATTTCTGTAAACGTTACCTTCAAGGAAGATAAACAAAAACAAACAAAAAAACAACAAAAACAAAATAACAAAAAAAATAATAATTCAAACTGGAATAAAAATACTGTCGATAGCGATTTAAAAAAATGATATATTTACTTATATTTTTACTTAAACTGTCTCGATGATTGATAATATAAATATATATTAAACTAATTATTATAAATTTTAATTTCATTATTATTATTATTTGTTTATTTCCCTTGAATAGATCAACGTGTAAGTACGCGACGTTATTTGTCGCTAGTATTACTAAAATATAACTATATTAAAGGACATAAAAATTTATAATGTTAAAATGTAGAATGCACTATTAAAAGCTGGACTTTTATATAGGACGATAAATATAACCTCTTTTTCATTTATTCGTTTGATTGTATTGAAAATATACTATACAATATTTTAAAATTTTTATTTATTATTAAATCATGACAGTAACATTAATAAAGCATACTTTTATCTGCCACGCGCGCGCACACACACACACACACACACACACACACAAAAGGGATTGTTTTACTTTACTAGAGCAATTAAATACATTATTAAGTTGCTGAATTAAGCAGCTGAATATTTTTAGAATTTTTAGAATATATGAAAACCACTAGAAAATAATGTAAAATAACAAAATGTTTGCTTTTTAAAGATTTGATATAACTTTATATTACATGATAAATAACTCCACGAGTAGAAGTCAATTACAGAGATTCAATATATCAAAGTAATATATATGTTCGTATAATTAGAAACTTTAAAACAATAATTTAATATTAATTTAAGTCTTCCATTCACCTTATAAAAATATATTATATATTAATGATTATTTAAACAAAAATTAATGTTCATAACATGAAATTTTTCATTCAATTAGTTTTTGTTAAAATTTGAAATAAGATACGAATTTATACAAATTTTATATTATTACAAATTATTCAAAAACAATAAATTATTTACAGAAGTAAAATATATATAGTACGATTTATGTTATGAACATTTTATAGTTAAAAAAAAAAAAAATATCAATGAAATTAATTTTTTGTATTTTCTTTTTGCACTAAATATATTATTATTTAACGATCCAAACTTTATTTATATACTGGTATATACTTACACATAACAATTCATATTAAAGTATATAATTTGTTAAAAAAATTTTAATCATAATTATTTTAATAGAAAAAGGTAGATCAACAATAGATATTAAAAGTTTTTGAATATTAATTTTTTAATATAATAGGCTATGTAATATAACTATAACTACGTTTCAAAATCATTCAAATATACAATGTTAAAATACAGAAATATATGATTAAAAGCTGGACTTTTATTAAATATTGAATTGTAAATGAAAAACATTTAATATTTTTAATAAATAAGTGAAAGAAATCCGATGAATTTTTCAACTCTATCCTTTATTATTGAGATACCGATATAAACGAAATAACAATGAAAATCTTTTTATATACAATATCCAAAATAACAACGCTTCCTATTTATGACTTTCTAATTTTATTATATAATGACTTTAATTTTAACACTTTATTTTAAATGAGTTTTAACTACTAAATCTGTGTTACAGCTTAAAGTTTCTACTAAGTATGATGGAACATTATACGATGACATGTAATGCACTATCAGTTTAATAAAATATTTTACCTGAACTGAATATTAAATTAAGATAATATGTATCCATATATATATATATATATATATACACACACACACACACACACACACACACACACACACACAGAGCATATTTTATATGAATATAATGCTGATTAACAGTTAATTTATAATGTTGATTGTCATGTGCAAACAAATCAATTTTCTTGAAGTTGTATTTCTTGTTTATAGCAAATCATATTTTGTTAAAATTTTGCATAAATTTCGATTTAGTCAAATATTATAAACGCTTTATAAAATTCAATATAACTATAATTTATTTTATTTTGTTAATCTAGCAAATGAAATAAGAATACTATTGTGAATGAGAGTCGATGAACTCTGTTAATGTCATTATTTTAACAATTTGTTTAATATGGAGTATCAGAAAACAGAAAGTACAAAAATTTATTTTTAAATGGTAGTAATTCATTAAATATATATATAATTAGTTAAAGTAGCAGAAAAAATCACCTAAGGTGTTCACTGCTTATTTTTTTTATTTAGTGATTTAGCGATGGTAATGGTATGGATTTCCGACGTTTTAATAGTTAATTATTAATTATTTAGTCTGGCAAATTTTCCTTAAAAAAGTACAAAATTACTTGAATCTTAATTTCGCATATATATATATATATATATGTATATATGTATATACATAATATTATTTTTAAATATTCCATCTCTTTTTATTAAAATTATTACAAATGTGTTATTAAAAAAAAAAGCTTAAAATGTATGAATCATTCGGAAAATATTTTATCATAAAAAAAAAATTGGAAATTAAAAGGGAGGTGCTTGTTTTTAAGAAGTACTATTATAGAATTACATATATAAAAGTTTATAATGATAATATTAAAAACAATACGTATTGAATCAATTAATATTTTAGTAATATCTGAGATTAAGTTTGTTTAAAAATAAACTTAGAGTTAGCTGTGTTCAATATGTTGAAGACTTTGAATCCTAGAACAATAATAAAAAATGTACTTTTGTATAATATTTATTTATTTATAGAACAATTTTTATCGTTTATTTTAGGAATAATTTTACCTTAATTAATATATTTTTAAATATCAAATACAAATGATTGTGAATTATAAATTATAGTATTCAAGGCATAAAATTATTAAATATATATGAATTTGTTTTTATTTTATTGTACAAAATATAAAATAAATAAATATATATATATATATATATATATACATTTAAATTGTAAATGATGATGATTTTGGTAATGAGTAAGGCTTTTGTTTAAAATTGATAAAAGTATGTTCAATGTACTTCCTATTTGTACTTATGATGTAATCGTTTATATATATATTGATCCTAATTATAATTAATCGATAGGCAATTACAATCATACGTTATGATATATTTATCCATATATTTAGAAATTTGTATCTTATCATAATTATTAATAATTTTTTTATTTATGTTACATATTAATTTTTAAAGAATAATAATTTCAACTGTACCTGCAAATGACAATATAAAATTTCTTTTTAATATAAATTGTGTTTATTAAATTATCCTGGTATGGGGAAGTTATAAAAAAATTTCTTTAAAAGTATGCGTAAATTTCAATTTATCGAACAATATATTTAACAACCAATTTATTAATTATTGTAAAGAAGCATCTTGTTTAATACGTTCAAACTGAGTATGGACAATTTTGAAGAAATTCTTTTTTATTAAATTATCATATTGCAGATTCTTTTTTACATCATTATTATTTTCATGACTATTTTATTTACACAAGCAAATGATATAGTACACGTTCGGATAAAATAACAAGTTCAAGTAAAAATTGCTGTTCACCGAAGTATAACTTTCTAATCTGAATGTGAAAAATTTATTTAAAATTAAATCCCATTATTAACTAACATTGAATTTAATTTTTGAAAATAATTTTACAAAAGCAACTTCCGAGTATGTTCAAATTGTAAAAAATTATACTTACATACATACGTATTTTTAATAAGTGGAGAAATTTAAGGTATGTAAAAAAATTTAATAAATAAAAAAATAATTACATGCTATACATATATAGATAAATTAAAAGATAACAAATTTAAAAAGTTCTACGTTTAAAGGTTTTGTATTTCAAAATTTGCATGTTTTTTGCAATACATGTCTGTAATAATACGTACAGGTAAGTATTTTTTTATGATTAAGTTAATATTATATTCTGTAATATGATGATGTGTTTTTAAATCGTATAAATTGATTGTCTTAAACCGGACAATTTATCATATTTCTGAAAATTATGATTAATCGTAAATCATACTGTATACTTTAATTGTATTATATACAAAATTTGTAAAAATAAATTACAAAGAAAATTTCATGCTTGTGTGGCATTAACATTACAGGATATCAATTCAATACGAATCTGCAAATGTTCTATTTGACAGCTAGTGATAAAAAGAGATAAAAGTATTTACATCTGCAAAATGATTTATGAATTACCGATCCTCGAAAGCTTTTATCCGGAAAACGTTAGAATAAAATTATTAACAATCACAATTCAAATATAATATTTACTTAAAATTATTATTCAGGATTTCTCTTGTTTTAAGCAAAAATATTAACAATCTTTATGAATTATTTAATAGCTTAAGGGTTTTCATGATTTTTTTTAAAGCAGCAATCTAAAGATATTAAATAATTCATAATAAAAACAATTATGTAAGAGAATTTTTGGTTATGATGTAAATTAAATCTTTTCTGACATCTGCATTCAGTGCTATAAATCAACCGGTAGTATATGAAATTTATAGCTATAAAAACATTATTTACATTTAATGCAGAGATAAATAAGCTTTGACATCTTAAGTGCAAAAATTATAAGTAAATTAAGAAATTGACTGGAAAATCTTATTAATTAAATAGTAGTTTGATAATCGTGTAATCGACTCCTCATGCATTATAAATAGCTCGTAAAGATTAAGTCTTGTCATTACTGGCAAGTAATGAATATATAAAATCAAATATAAACAAGTTTTATTTGTTAGGCTAAACACTAATCACGCGATAATATTTGCGTAATGAAAAAATTTAATTTGTTGATAAAATTCGTAATAGTGATGCTGACGAATCATACGACCAATCACAACTATATAGCTTCTTTTATTTAATCATTCTCATATTATTTATAAAATAATATATATAATATAGATAATAATCTTTTAATTATTAAATTTATTCTCAACCATTGTGAAATGTATGTTCGCCCTCTAAAATAACCTTAAAATATTTAAGTATAAGTAAAAATGCTTTATGGAAAGTAATGGATAATTTCAAAATGTCTAAGGAAGTTAAAAATTTGCTTGGCAATTTTATGGCACGAGCATCTCAGTTTTCGTTTAATGTCTCTATCTTTATTTATTATGTACGCATGCATATACACATATATACACGCATGCACACATACATCATATATATATATATAAATTACGATATTTTTACTTTTAATGACAAGTTGCTTTTTAAATAAAGTTTTAAATGTTTCTTAATCACAGTGCTGAATGCTACTTGATTCTATAATTTATTTATCATTCAATCGAAAAATATATATGAATGCTACTTGATTCTATAATTTATTTATCATTCAATCGAAAATGTTCATACAATATCATGATTAATAATAATTTTATTTATTTGGATGTCTAAAGTCGTAACTATCGATGCGTCCGAAGATTTAAACAAGCAATTAAACTCGCGAGCTAAAGGAATTTCTTATATTATTGATTGCAAAAAGCGAAGCGAACCAACGCTAAGGAAATTAAAGGCACTATTATTGGCTAAAGGAGAGCTGCTTAAGTAGATGCTTAATAAATTTCATTGTTTATATTGAAAAAAAGGAGAATAATCGGGCAGGAATTAGATACGATTGTTCTAAACAATCATCAAACAATGGGATCAAGTAAAATGTTGCCAATGAATGATAAGAAAAGTATTTTTTTATTAAAATATAAAATAATACGTTAGCTATGACAATCTTAAAATTAATGAACTGTGGTTCGTGTTTCTTCTCTATTCATCAGTTCAGCTGTTGAACTGGTATTGAATGGTTATTGGTTGACTTTGTAACGTAACCTCACATTGACGGAAAGTAGGCACTAGACACACACGACAGTGGACACACCTTCAAGAAGTTTAGGTAAGGAGGAAGGGGATAAGACGTTAGGAGTTTGTACATGCCTAGAAATTAGAAGTATTTTGTCCATTCGGCGAATCCCACTTTCAACTCTTGAAGACGACGGTTGATTTAACTCCGCCTTTGCCTAAATGAACAAGAAATGGCAGCTACAACATTTGATGTGGGATTATTAAACAATGATTTTAAATCTAAAAAAAAAGAAGATTTATTGGACAACAAAGAAAATTTGTGGTAAATATAAAGGCAATTTGATTGTTCAAGTATATTCTATTGTAATCTGTTTAATATGCAGCGCATGTCATTGTGTACTTGTTTGGCACTCTTAATCATTACGTATATTATATTACAGGTCAAGTATCCTAGCGCAAGTACAAAATAGTAGCAATAATAAATTACCAACAAATAAAAATGTACTAGTTTTAGGTAAGAATTAAACGACAGATTTAAGGAAAATTATTATTGTTTTAAATTTATCTACTTATGATGTTATTGGTAGGTGATAATGAAAGTGGAAAAACAACACTTATCGCTAAACTTCAGGGCGTGGAGGACCCAAAGAAAGGATCTGGCCTAGAGTACGCTTATATAGATGTTCGAGACGAATACAGAGATGGTTAATATAAAATATTAAAAATATTTAAAGTATTTAATTATAGAAGTTGAATACGGATAACGTTAGTTGCGATAATGTATTAAGTGAAATATAAATGTTTTTCAGATCAAACAAGATTATCAGTGTGGGTGTTAGATGGTGAGCCTGGGCATTCAAATTTATTAAAATTTGCTTTAAACGCTGATCGATTTCCGAATACTTTGGTTATGTTGGTTTCTGCCATGACTACACCATGGGCGATATTGGATCAGTTACAGTTTTGGTCCAGGATCCTGGGTGATCATATCGATAAACTTGCATCTGAACATGATTCGTTTAAACAAGTTTGGCAAGAGTGTCGGACGCAAAGTAAGTCTGTTATTAACGCTTTAGTCTCGATAGACTTAACTAAATTGCATTCTCCTTTACAATATTATTATTTTATTTAGTTACAAAAAAATGGCAAGACTATACCGAGCCTGGTGATGATCTTGATCCAGGAAGTCCATTAAGGCGAACCAGTCGTAATTTAGATGATGAATCGGTGGATAATTTACCTCTACCCGAAGGAGTATTAACAACAAATTTAGGACTAGATGTAGTTGTTGTAATTACAAAAACCGATTACATGACAACTTTGGAAAAACAACACGATTACAGGTAATTTGAAAAAAGAATTAGTTTTTATTCTTATTTTATCGTATTTATCCGATTATACTCAATATTTTGATAAACTATTAGGGACGAGCACTTCGATTTTATGCAACAGTGGATTAGAAAATTTTGTCTACAATATGGTGCAGGTCTTTTTTATACATCTGTCAAAGAGGATAAAAATTGTGATTTGCTGTATAAATATTTAACACATAGAATTTACAGTTTACCTTTTAGAACACCTGCCTTAGTTGTAGAAAAAGATGCTGTTCTTATGTATGTTAAATGAAAATCCCTAAATTTTCTATTTTTACGAAAATTTTAAAATTACTTTTATTCAACTGAATTTTAGTCCAGCCGGTTGGGATAATATTAAAAAAATTAGTATTCTTCATGAAAATTTACAATCGATGAAGCCCGAAGATTATTATCGAGATGTAATTATCCAACCCACTACAAATAGAAAGGTAATTTTTGTAAGAAATTTGCTATTAATAGCTAATTTTACTTTTATTTTATGGATGTTGCAATTACCATGATTGTAAATGATCTAAAAAATTAAAAAAATTTTTAAATTTAATCAATGTAAATTGTACGGACTTTAATTATTATCCACCGTATCCAGTGTTAATTTACATTCCATTGTAAATTTATGTCTAATATTGTAAAATTCTATTCTATCTGATAGATATAAGTAATTTATAAGATATATTCATAATATAGATATTATTAAAAATTAAATAAATGAATCATTCAACAACTATTTTGTAATGTTATATATATGATTTAAGATAATTTCTATATTTTTTGTTTCTTACTTCGGTTTTTAAGCAAGTAAATAATTAGGTAATATTGAAAATGTGTTATAAAATAAAATTAAATCAAAATTATAAAATTTTATATAATTTGTAGTGATAAATAATGATTTTTTTTTATTAAAAATGTTTGCAGAATGTAACGCGTCGAACTGAAATTCAAGCAGAAGATGAACAAGTCTTTCTAGCTAGACAACAAGAAACTTTAATGGGATTAAAAGATCCTTCTCGTTCACCATCGACAAGGAATCAGGCAAGCACGGGCCCAATTATTCAGGTCTATTCCATTTTAATTCTAGCATGCTTTCAGTGTCAGTGGTGCTTAATCAACATTAAAATAATACGAAAAATTAGCGACATTATTAATATCGTATGATTAACAATCAATATGTTAACTAACATACACACTACTTTATTGTTTTTACTTGATATATTAGTTTTTATTATCTAATTTAAACCATTAAACAAAGAAAATACATTGTCAGAATAATTTTTAATTACATTTAATTGGTAATGATTGAATTTTATTAGTAAAAAATAAAGTAGTTGAAAAAAAATTTACTTTTTGATGTAATTAACTGGGAATTATTAATAATTTCTTTTTATTCTAATAATTCATTGTTTTTAAACAACAAATGCATTTCAATTAACAAGTCATTGTTTTCTAATCTTTTTAAAAACGTCATTGTCATTGATTTATAAAAAGCAAATGTTGCAGAACATATTCTTTAAATTAAATTTTAATAAATTTTAATAAATAATATATGTATATATATATATATATATATATACACACATTTATGTATAAATAGTTATGGTTAAATAGAATTTTAATAAATTACATGGCATATGTACAAAGGATTTTCAGAATTGATACATTCTATTTCATTTATCGATAGGCAATAAAATTAGAAATTTAATGTACTACAATAATGTACAATAATAAATTTCATAATCATAAAGATTTTATTTAACTCTCTTTGTTATATTTGATATTTTCATTGTACATGAAGAAATCTAATATTGCTATTACTAATTACTTAAAATAATATTTTATATATATATTTTTTAGAAATCTATTTTACGAACTTGAGATTTGCATATCTAACAAAATTTTAACGTAAAAGTCAAACATATTATATTACAAAAACAATATTTTATTCTTATCAAAAGCTTACGATGGGATAAGAGAAAGATGATATAAAATCGCTTCTGATATAAACTTTTCACAAAACGCGAAGAACCAATTAACCACATATTTTTGCGAACGTATTAATTACAGTTGAATCTGCAATTATTGTACGAATATACGTATTGTACAATATACGAATTAACGATTAAATTCATTTTAAAACAAAAAATTTCGTCATATTGTTTGAGTTATTGAAAAATTTTCAAAACCACCATCTTCCGAACGATTTATTTTTATAAGGTTACATAAAAAAGGTATTAAGAAGTTTTCTAATTCCTATAAGTGACATTTACATGATGTATAAAAATACCTAAGCATGTACGTACCATTTATGTCATAAAATAATTTTGCCTTTGAATGTTAGTTTGAATGTTATTAAGCTTAAGCCCTTAATAATATGAATGAAATTTAAATTATTTCATCCACCAAAGATTCTTTTGAAAAATAATAAGTTGAATGTTAAGGTTGATGCAATAAGAAACTTCTCGAAAGCATGCTATAATTCATTTCATGGAGTGATCTGACATTAATATTTACGATATTGATTGTTATTACCAAGCACGCATTGAAAGATTTAAATGTAGGTTGCATCGCCAAACAAGAAGTTGGATCCAAAAGCTACTGGTGAAGGTGTACTCGCGAACTTCTTCAATTCACTTTTGCACAAAAAAACAGGTTTCCCTAGTAATCCAAGTTCACCAGGTAGTCCGGGATTAAGTCCCATTAAAAGCGGTAACTATGCATTAATTTGATCTATATTCAATATTTTTGCATTTATTTTTTATTAAGCAAATGTAATAAACAATTGTAATGGCTATATATATATATATTTTTTTTTTTGTTTTTGTTTTTTGTTTGTTAAAGAATTTTATATACATATATATATATATATATACATATATATATATATATATATATATATATATATATATATATATGTATATAAAATTCTTTAACAAACAAAAAACAAAAACAAAAAAAAAAATATATATATATATATAGCCATTACAATTGTTTATTACATTTGAATCCATATATCTGAATTATCATTTTTTCGTTAAATTAGAAGTGAAAAAAAATTCTGTTCAAAATAAAGATTACACGCAGTATTGCCTATATGTTAATGATTTGAAAGGTTTGTTAAGACTTGGGAGAAAATCAGGCGCAACTTTACTCATCTCGGAAGACTTTCCGCATTCTTTCACCGAGCTATTCATCCTTATGTCAATTATTTATTTATTTTTTTTTTTTGTTCGAATTGTTCATCGATGATTAGCACATTCCTAAATCAGATATCTTCATTATATTAGGTATGTAATAATAGACCGAAACACAGTTATCTTAACGGTATTATTGCGCTTGAAAATTAATTTTTTTTTAATTTGTAACGATGCATATCGTATAGAGTATTATTCACATTCATTTATTATTAAAAATTTTTTCTCCTTCATTTTATACGTATCTTCTCAAATTCCTAGACTCTGGGGCCATAGATAAAGCTGCAATGCGAAATGACGCAGCAGCGGAGCTCGATCGTATAACGAAAACGAAAAAAGTCCCATCAATGGATTTGGATAGCTCGACTGAATCTTGAAATTTAAGAGAGTAAGCATTACAAGTGTATTGAACGAAGAAGAAAATACCATCGATCATAGTGTGATGGTTGTGTCATTGTCTCTCAGTCAAGTCACAATGTCGAAAACGAAACATGTCATAAATTGTCAAGTGCAATGTCAAAGCATTTTTACCGATATTTATAATTTATTAAATGCTTATTTGTTCACTAGGTGAATTTAAAAATTCTAAATACAATACAGGATTTATAACTCATTAATATCAAATTATTTAAGGTTGCTTCGACTGTTCTTTGCGATTTGCTTAGCCTCAAAATTATTTCTTAATTTGCGGATAAGGAATGATCGCGTTAAGCAAGTTAAATCATTAACATTTTACATCAATACGAGAAGTGAGTTGTAAGTTTTGTTATAAATTAAACAAAAATATGTATTTATAAAAGCTTTGAGTTTCATACAAATAGATGGCGTAAATTTCGTCCTTTTTTTGAAATTGAATTGATAATTACTTGTCTATATAAGGAAGGATCATATTTGCACAAGTAATTATTATCAAGTTACTGTAAACTTGTTTTCAACGATAATATTCTGTAATTTTTTTTCCCTTTTTTTTTTTATATTTATCGTTAAAAAAATTGAATAAGTCACTTTAGTATTATGTAAAGAAATTCACTATAAAACTAACAGAGAATAGATATGAGGATTCAATTAACAAGTAATGTATAATAAATACATTTTTGATGAAAAAATATACATACATACATACATATATACATATATTTATATATATATATATATTGTTAAATTAGTACAGTCGTTACAATTTATTAAAATAATGAATTTCACGTACATTAGTATATATTTACTATATTAAAATGTACTGACTTTTTATACCAATTTATAATCAATTTTTTACTATCTATTATTATGCAGCATATATTTTTGTTCATTCACAGTACAATATAAATATAAACAAAATTCTAATAACTGCTAATAATTAATTTACAGTTTTGTTTATATAATAGAAATGATTGTCTCGATAGTTAAAATTCTCATAAATAAAGTTGGACCTCTATCTTTACTACATACTAATTGGTTATTTGAAATTTTGTGTATATATATATATTCATTCATATATGTAACTTGATATAGGATTTATTGCAGTAGATATTGTGCAATGAAAGTCATTAATAAAAAACAAATTTTTTTTTTAACGTATTTTGTAACTTTATTGCTCACCTTGAATCAATTTTTATTAATACTTTATGACAATTCATTTATAATTATTAATTATAAAGTAAGTGTAATAATAATAATAATAACGTTTCTAAGAAATGGTACATTTGGATTAAACGAGTACTGATTGCTAATATACAAGAGTCCAGTATTTTTAATATTGCCTCTTAGAAGATTAAAAGAATATTCGATTGAAAGGAAAAAAATTAATGAGTTTTACCAGATTAGCATTTCATTGATATTAACAAAATATTATAGGAACAAACGGTATTAGTTTCCTCGCATTTTACTTGTGCAAGCAGT